ATGACTTATAGTTATGAAACTGAGAAATCCATTTCTCAAGCTAAACTACTAAGCTTAACAGTTTGCTCCCTGCACAAATGCTACTTGTATGTGTAGCTGTAATCACTTAGATCAGGGGTTCCCAAACTATGGTACTCATACCTCTGCGTGTATGCAAGATACTCTGGGGGTTATGTGAGAGAAACTGTGTAATGGCAGATTTAATTTTCATTATAATAATAATTGGGATTTTAGGGGTTAAAATACAAAATGTATGCTGATAGGGATACACGGGTAGGTAGTAAATCTGGAAGGGGGTAACCAATAAGAAAAAGTTTGGGAATCTCTGACTTAGATGTCAGAATTCCTTTGGGGGATTTGATGAGGGTAGCAAGTTTTGGAAGCTGTAAGCACAAGGGGTAACAGTGCCGAACCAAAATAGGCACTTAGGAACTTAAGTCAGTTGCATGTTAGTGGAAATTTGAGGCTGTTTTTCCATACTAATATGGTTCCAGGTATTAGCCAATGCCACAGATTTTATACGCCTAATAACAACAGTACTACATGCAAATCTGTCCTCTTTCCAGGTAATCACTTACAGCAATACAAAGAGCCTTAAAATGATTTGTATAAAAAGAGGACAAACATTCATAATGCTGGAATGGGTTTTCAAGAGAGGCAGTACTATCACCTAACTTGGAGGTCTTCAAGAGAAGGCTTAATAATCACCTGGCTGGGGTCATCTGACCTTGGTCCTCTTTCCTGCCAGGGGCAGGGGGTCAGACACGATGATCCTTTGTGGTCCCTTCCGACTCGACAATCTATGAATGAATGCCAAACCACACATGGCATCGAGCTAAGATGATGTTCCACTAGCTTGTTGCAATAGAAAATGCCTTTGAGAAGAGGATTAGAATCTGTGGCAAACACGCACAGTAGATCCACTAACAATAATCAAAGACCTGCACCCATAGGATACTATGACCTGCTAAAGGTGACCTAGAAAGCTTTCATAAAATGTATTTTTAAAATGCTGCAGTTCTGTAAAAAAAAGTTACTCTAAAATATATACTGGAAATGTCCATATTTAGTCTCTCTAATTCTAGATTAAATTTATAAAATTTGAAAGTAAACAGATTTCCTTTAACTGCTGACCTAGAAAATTCAACACAGAATGTGAAAGTTAATATTCTGGTACAGGCACTGGTAAAAAGAAATCTACTTCTGGCTTCAAAGAGACTGAACATGCTTAGATGAAGCCAGAATTTGACTGCAGAAATAGAAATATATTTAACAATTCAGTTGATTTGTGAGCCCCAACATAACCCAGCTGGCTAAAACTCAGATGTGTTGACTCTGAAATTTAAAGTAAACTAAGCTGTAAGCAGTTGCAGTAAAAATGGTACAATCCTCGATACACAGTAAAAAACAGACCTCCTTACCAAAATTCATATATGTAGGCAGTATTTGTTTGGCTTCTGCATAGCAGTTGGAATCCAATAACCTAACTCCTTGGACAGTGGCTCCTCTGGTATAACAATTTATAAAAAAATAGTTCTGGCTCCATGAGGTCAGGTTAGTGTGTGACAGAGTTAAACAGACCATGGTGTGATCTAGTACAGCAATGCCTAGAACCCATGTGTACTTTCAACTACAAATCAAATTATTCATAATATATAAATCAAGTCAACAACATGCACACAGTGTAGACCAGTGATGCTCAACTTCCAATCTATGGGACTCCCCACAGGTCTGAAAATTTGGTGGCAGGGGAGCAGTGGCAGCAGCAATTTACACTGCCACTACCCAATCACCAAATTTTTTGCCACATGGGGAGCCCTGCAGGCCAAATGACACAGCCCCATACACCAGGTCACTCTGAGGTTGGATCCAGCATGCAACCAAGCAGCGTGCAGGGTCAGGCTGTGGCTGAATCCGGAGTGTGAAGTTGGATCCGCATGCTGTATTACTGTGCAGCCAGATCCGGACCATGAGGTCAGGTTAGTGTGCTGGGTCACTGAGCAACCAGCTCTGGCATGCAGAGGCATGCCAGTGTGCCAGATCGCACCCATGGACTAATTCCATGTGCTGACCCTGTGCTGGATCAGCCCACAGACCGACCTTGCCTACAGACCTGAGCTACAGACCACCACCACCCAGCAGGGCCAGCAAGTTGAGAACTCGTGGCACAGATCAAAGTGATTTAGAGACTGGAATGAGGAGGCTGAAAATAGCTAAGTGAGAGAGAATCTTTATAAACAACATCCTGTGGTTTGAAGAAATCAACAGCACTACTAGAAACAAAGAGAGATGCAACTAGGCAGCCAGTGATTGTATCTAAAGAACATAGCTTTCCAGTGCACCTATTCTGTAGGGATGTGCGAAATTTTTGCAGCTGTTTCATTTTGGAGGTCTTTCAGGCCATTTCGACACCTGAAACATTGAATCTGAATCAAAACAGAAGGCTCAGAAACATCTCCGAAATGAAACGAGACATCCGAAGCATTTTGGAAATTTTTTGGAAAATTTTGGCATTTCGGAGCTTGCAGGGAAGCAGCTGCACACTGCTGGCCTGCCATGCAACTCCACTCAGCAGGGAGCAGAGATCCATGCTGGGGGTCTCCTTGCTGCCACCGCCTGTCTCATGCTGCTCCGGTGACACAGAGCTGCACAGGGTAAGCAGCAGTGGTGAGGAGACCCCAGTGCGGATCTCTGCTCCCTGCAGAGGTAAGTTGCGTGGCAGAGCAGTGCTGATCCCTGCCGTGTGACCTGGCTCTGCAGGAAGCAGAGATCCACGGAGGGGTCTCCTCGCCGCTGCTGCCCACCCCACATCACCGGGGCAGCGTGGGGCAGGCAGCAGTGGTGAGGAGACCCCCAGAGCAGATCTCTGTTCCCTGCGGAGCCGAGTTGTGCGGTAGGAACCAACAGGGTTGCTCGCTGCTCTGTGCTTCTTCCCTGCCCCATGACCCCGCAGGGATCAGAGATCCACACGGGCATCTCCTTGACTTCATGAAGGGCAGTGGCCCTCCCCCTCCCACAGACGACCCACCCATGGCCCCATCCTGCTCCCCGCTGGGGCCCCAAGTCCCACCTGGCTGGGTAGGGCTGTGTGAAGCTTCCTTTGAGCCTATTCAAAACAGGTTTAGAGGAGATTCAGCTGAAATTAAACAGGACGGTGATCTGAAACACGGAAATGAATCACTGTCCTCCAAAACCAAATCGAAACACAGCCATTTCACACAACCCTACTGTTTTGTATCAGCCTATAGGGCCACATAGCCAAGCATTACAGCTCCAGAGAAGATGTGAAATAGGGATTGGGAGATAAAAAGTAAACCATGCTTACAAAAGAACCTTTGCTATAAGTAACTCAACTAATGAAGTTTAAGGACAACTGCCTAACTTTGGCATTTTGAAGATGTTTGCATACGTACTTAAGAGATATGCACAAGACAGTGGGCATTAAGTAATTTGCCTGAAGGTAAGAAATTGAAAGTGAGACAGTGTAATGGGTAGGCAAATACCCAAGTGATTACTCAACCTTTACACAGTATACAACTGAATCAGCTATCAATTGGAATTACAAGAATGGATGTCCCTACACAATGCATATCAGACTGGATAATTCAAGTATCATTTTTTGATCCTACAGTCTCCAACTGAACATGAAGATAAATGCTTTGTAGATGTGGTACATTTATAAATATCTAAGAAGATACATTAAATATTAAAGAACTGCTCTTCTCACTGTAAATATTTTAACACCTCGAGTAAGAAGATATGGTACAAAAGAAGGTTTCTCTGCAGAGCAAACAGCTATGAAAAGATGATTAATTGCATGATACAGTGTGCTCCAGAATACCAGTGTAAGAAGAAAAAATAAAACATTTCCCCTCCACTTGAAAAAGCAACTAATAGTTTTAACTGTTAAAAACAGTACTGAATACTAACAAGCAGCAGGGAAATTAACACATGACTACAGGAAGCCATTCAGTTCAATCAGAGATCTAGAGGGAACTGAGAGGTCTTTGTTCCTCACAATGCTGACTAAAATGAAGCAACTGTTGCTTCTTCATAGGCATGTTTTGGAAGCATCACAATATTATCATTTTAACATTCAGTATTTGCTCAGTGTTCTTTTTTAATTTTAGTACTCAAAAGCAAGCAAGTCTCAGTCAAGTAAAATACAATTCAGTTTTATTACAAGCCTATTTGTTGGAATTATTGAGTATAATTTTCAAAAAGCCTAAGTAACTTCGAAGCCAAAGTTCTATTTCCACAAAGAACATAGGTATTAAAGTCATTCTTGCAAATTGTATTTAGGCTAGGTCTACACATGAAAATTTTGCCAGTATAATCATGTCAATTAGGGTTTATTTTGTTTTGCAGTAAGTTTAAACATAAAAGCACTAATGCAGATGTACTTGAGTTTTTTGCTGATACAGACTATTTCATGTGCTGAATCATGTTTACAACAAAATCACTTTACCATGAAAACACAATATGAGTTTCCTATCCCAGCCATTTTTTAGTGCAGATCTTATCTTAAGCTCTCAAGTTACTTAGATGCTTTTGAAAGTGTTATCCAAAGCACTCATGTTTTCTATGAGCCATAGCACCAGTTCCATAGGCTAATTTTACATTTATGTACACATGTGTGCAAGACAGTCATCTTTGGTGCTTAATGAATCCAGACTTAATTTGCTGATCATCTGAACTGCAGTGAGAGGAACTGAATGAATGCAACCAGATTCCAATTTTCTACAAAGCTGCACCAAAATATGACTAATAGATAACTTAGGTTCAGTAGTCCTTCAATGAACTATTTTCTTATCTAAAAATTTAACTCAGGAAAGACCTCTCTCTCACAATGGCAGAAAACCATACAAAGTTTAAAAGAAACATGTAATACTTTTAGCCATAACGGAAGTTACTTTCATTTTCAAGTTTAAAACAACTTAAGTGTTGATACACCAAGGTCCTTTTAAAAATATGGAATTTTGATTATGATCCAAACTTACTTGTATTAGGTCTAAAATACCAAGTTCACTTTCTGAAGAATCCACACAGAAGACAAAGTACAATGTGGCATAGTGTCGGTAAATGAGTTTGTTGTCAGATCCACCGATTAATCTAAATTAAGACAGCAAAGAATGGTCAATATATCAAGACGAGGCAAGCAAAACCAGCAAGTGAAAACAGTTTAGTATGTAGTTTAAATTAAAAGATTATTGGCAACCTCTTAAATGCAGAAGTACTTCCAACATGTTTCACAATGCAATCAAAATCCAGTGTTATTGCTGAACCCCCTCCCCCACAAGCTAAATGAAGACACCTTAATTATAAATTGTAATTATTGCATAATCAGTTATTACAATCTATAAAAATACTAATCACAGTGAAGCACACACAAAACACATGAGAGTCATTACAAATAGTTCAAAAAGGCCAATGTTCCCCAAACAGTGTAACTCCATGACAGACTAGCAGGCACTCTGCAAAGATTATGAAGTCCTAAGCAGACTGCCTAAGCACCTTTCACAATCCTTCACAGAAGCCAATGAAATCAATTTATAACTTTAAGGACACCGGCATAAATTTGAGGTTAAAACGTCTGGACTACATTGATACTTACTTAAACCAAATTCACATTCTGTGAGATAAACTAGAACACATTCCATAGCTGTATTACATTATATTGGATGTCATATGAAGCTAAAGTGCACTGCAGACAAAACATAATTCCTTATATTGCTCATTTACCAATAAATTAATGAATTCAGGGAAATGAGCTATATTAAAAGAACCAGTGATAGTCTTTGCCCATCCTCTATAACTTGTTCCCAGGAAATAGCTTTTTCACAAGGTGTGGAGCTTTCCTTCTTTACTTATGTAAAAATCCAATCTTTATAGAAACATAGCTTAAATATAAAATGAAAATTACTTTGTGGTACATAGCTTTATAGGGATTAAGCTGATCATTTCCCACACTAAAAAACATCATTCTGCCTAATTTGGACCTAAAGAAAAACTGTCGGTTTGAGGGGCTACAATTCTATTTAAAACCAAACCAAACCAACCAAACCAAAACGTTTCTTTAGTTTTTTTCTTTTATATTAATGAACAGAAAAGTATCATGGACCTGCTCCCAAAAATTGCATGCAGAACTTTTTTCATTACATTACTTGCAGACAAAGTCTTAAAAGCAAAGAAATGCTTTTAAAGTGAAGGCTCATAATGCATCCTTAATTCCGCCCATTAACCAAGATGCTGCAGAGCAGATGAGGTTAATAAAACACTCTTTACTAAGGCTTTTGGTTATTTATATTACAGCAATGACTGAACATGCAAGATGCTCCACATACATATAGGAAGACAGTCTTTGCCCCCAAGATTTTTATGGAAAGGGAACCTGCAGAAAGGAAAAAAGTTTGGCTTATGATTTCCTGTTTCCACCTTTTTTCCCCCCCTCATCTATGATATATAAAGAACACCTAAAAAGATTTTTGTCCCAATTGTTGTATACCTTATTAATTTATCTCCTTTTTATCTCAAAAGACTACTGTATGGTGCCTAGACAACAACTGTAATGGCATTTCCAAGAGTCAAGAGAGTGAAAAAAGAATAGTTAAGAGGAATAAAACTTCTAGTCAGAATGTTAGACCAATTGTCTTGAGTGTGTGTGTGTGTAAAAATGGGACAGTCGTGGTTGATATTATATCAACTACCACAACTTCAAACCATAATTTTGCACCTATCGTAAACTGTTTTTGATCAAATCTTGAGTCTCACCATAGATAAATCAGAGCTATTAATGTATGTTAAGTGCCATTTGTTAGTCTACACCACAATCAAAATCACATTAGTTATTATAAAAACTGACCTCTTTCCCCAGAAGTGTTTTTAATGCCTAATTAACTAATTAAAGAAGTCTTATTTTTGGAAGTCTGTTATCCAGTTCAGGAAGAACTCAAAATACACAGGTTGCAAGATGACGGAAAAGCTAAATTTGACATTTGAATAAGTCTAGAGTAAAATAAAATCTTGTAAAGGTCACCTTTAAAATGAGAATACTCAATCAGTGAGTATGTCGACACTCATATCTTTTGCATACTAGGATGGCTGATACGAGGTGGAAAACATTTCATAGTTTTAGAGCAGTGATTCTCAACCAGGTGTAACAGTACCCTCAGGTGCTGCCAGATCCTCTGAAGGGTGCCAAGAGGTGTGAAGAGATAAGCAAGTTGAGAGGAAATAAGCAGATAAACCAAGCAAATAAGCCAGGCTCAAGCTTGTCCCTGCCTGGATGATCTCCCAACACCTACTGCTGAGCACCTGTGTAAGGAGGTAAGCACTGTAATATATAAATAAGTTTTTGAAACTGGGTGCCATTCAATTCACAAATGGAGGAATACCTCAAGTCCAAAAAGGTTCAGAACCACTGTTTATGACAGATAAAACAAAAGCTTTAGTTAAGCACCAGCCTAAGGGTACATCTGAAAGCTTTGCACCTCACCTAGGCAGGACACTTTCAAAAGGAGGTGAGATGGGGAGGAGGGGGTCAAGAGTTAACTCCAAACAGCTAATACTGTTAAATGCAACTTGCTCTCACTAAACTAGAAGCAAAGTCCTGCTCATAACCAAGTCAGTCTACTCATTTTTAAAAGCAACTGTTTTTGCTCTTTTGAACTTGCTCAACATGACAGTAAAGTTGGACTCTGGTAAAAACCCCGGGGCAAACCTATTGCGAGAGACTCTCCACCAACCCAACTCAGCATACAAATTTTAGGACTGCAATTCTCAACCAGGGTACATGAGCGCCAAGGAATGTCACACAATATTAGCACTGGTGAATGTGAATCACAAGTAGATGTTTATACAAGATAAACCCTGGGTTTGTTTGTTTTTTATCTCCCTGCCTGCCATCTGACACCTCCAGGGAAGGAATTCTACCTGATCAACACATCAGAGACAGCTCACAAAGACACTCTCATGGACCCAGAGGGACAGCCTTCCATCTTCAGCTTCCTCTGTGCCAAAATGAAGTTTATTTCCTACCTATGGGGACTTGTACCATCTTGTACCAACTACACTTTTCCCAGAGCCTGACGAAGGGGACTTTGATCCTGAAAGCTTGCAGAAAAGGACAATTTTCTTGCCATTTTCTAGTTAGTCTAATAAAAGGTATCATTTTGGAACCAAGAGTTCTAGTTTTTTGTATGAGGTTTCAAATAGGAATCCATAGTTCCAAAGACATTCTGACCCACTGTGGTCTTTTTGAGATCTTTGCAACTGAATTACTCTAGTCTTTTCTCATACTCAAAAAAACAAATGAAAACTAAGGAGTGGACATTTTCCAGGGGATGTCTTGCATCTAAAAATGTTGAGAACCACTGATTTAGCCCAATGCAGGAACCTAGTAGAAATGCTGGATCTTGCAGGGGCACAGGGGGGATAAAAAGCTCTCTCAGATTGCCCTAAAAGTGTTATCTGTGTTAGATGAAGGTAGTTAGGTGCCACCTGGATCTATATTTTCTCTTGCTATCCAGTAGAACTCTGATACCATCATGATCCCTCAGGCAGTTCTCTCTCTAAAGTAGACCTTAGAAAAGATATTCTATGAAAGACATATCTCAATTGTAGCACTTTAAAAAGGGATGTATGTTGTCAAGAGGCTATCAACATGAGTGCACCAGAAATATCCAAACAGACACTTAAATTCCTACTATACAAGATGGTACTCATGAAGGTTATAATGATATCCTTAACCAGGGGTCAGGATGGAACCATTCGATCTGGCCTGAGGATGTGGGGCTTCAGAGGTATTCAGCAATGTGGGGCTTCAGCTGCAAGCACTTTCCCCCTACCACTCATCCTAGCACCTCCGACCTCGGGTGGGTCACTCCTGCTTGTAGTCAGAAAAGGTTGCCAGAGCTCTGTCCTTACTATTGAAACAGCATTAGACATTTACTCTAAAATGTATACTTACAAGCCTCCTTCTAAGAAGTTACAAACATTTTCATCACGTTTGGATACTAAATGGAAAGTTTCTCTGATAATTTGTTGTTGTATATCTTCACTCTGTAAAAGAAAATGTATTTTACTATTAAAGTGAATTAACAGCATCTTGAAGTTTAAACTCATATAGTTTTGTACTCCATTTCAGTCAATTGGTTTTGATGTCTTATAATCAGTCAGCTGAGAAGTTATGCACTGATGTTTACCTATTTTAGTGCCACTATGGTTTGCCTTTAAGTTACATGAGGAATTTTTTAAATTAAACAAAACAAACATAAAACACATTAAAATAACACCAGTTTCACAGATTTTCAGAAATTTAAATTGATACAACAATCTTTAGAATAAGCTATTTTGAGTAAGTGCAAAGAACCTGCAATAACTAAATAATAGGCTGAACTTCTATAGACATACATTGGAAACCTGTTTCCAATTACTGACAGCAAGTGCTTTAGCCCCAAGGCTTGAAAAATGAAACAACTAACATGCACTTGTCAAGCCAGAAATGCAGTAATATCCAAAGCCTTGTCTCCTCTCAAGCTACAAACCTTCTCCCTGCTACTCTTAGCGGGCAGATAACTCACTCCTTGGCCACAAGAGAAGACCATCACAAAGACGCTTGCAGAAGACTAATCCAATCTGTCTTAAAATTATTTTAACTAAAAAAAAATTTACAGACTCATGTCTATCTGCTCTTGAACTAGTATTAGAACTACACATTCACTTGGCTTATACTAACTCAGTTTAAGACAACATATTATTTCAAATCAATTTCTAGCAGTCACCCAGGGATGTATACTTCTTCAAACAAAAATAAAACAAACTGTTGAAAATTTGCTCAGGAACATTTCACGTGCAAACTGCAACTGTGAGCCTACATGCTGAAGCTATGACATGTAAACCTCCTTACTTAAAAAAAAAAAAACCAAAAAAAAAACCTCCCAAATTACACAGTTCCTGCTGGGAGAGAGCAGAAATTTGTCTCCAGAATCAGAGTTTTGGGTCTACTTATATACAACTCTGCAAACATCTAACTGACAAGAGCACATAGATAGTGCAATCTTATTTAAAAAACAAACAAACAAACCAATATTATATTTATATACTTCATGGGTCTTCAGGGAAAGGGAGTTCTCATAAAGCAGCACAGTGCAGAATGTCTGGTTTGCAAGGCCTGTAAAAGACTATTTTTACAACTGGGTAACACTTCCATTTTTTTGCAGGTTCGTAAAACTTTCCACACAAACAGAATTTGTTGTCTGCACTGGGCATTTCTCTGCTAATTTCAGATTGGTGCTGCTGAAACACTGAAAAACGCCAGTGTAGACACAAAAACTGGATTTGCACCAGTGCAAGTTACCTCAGATTCACAAATAGGGAAAGCTAGTACAAACTAGCTAGGGAAAACTAGTGCAAACTGTATCCATCTCTGCCTATTTCAGCATTAGTACCCTATATACTGGTGCCCAGCATCCCAGCAGATCCCAAGCGCTAGGAGTCTGCATTCTGTCCCTAAGCTAGCAAGGTGTCTCCACAGTATTTGAAAAAAACTCACTGATTTATCATAATGCGCATGGCTTGGTGAGCAAGTTGTAGATGTGTAGAAATAAAGTATGAGCAAACATGTGACCACATACACATTATTCAATGCAACAGTAACTTGCAACTACTATCACTATGCTATGACTCAAAATAAAAGTTTTTATGCTCTACATTTGCTACAAGTTTAGGGGAACTGGGGAGCTTTTACACATTCCCACAACCTCGATTCTCCCTAGCAGAATAACCCTACTTAACAGGATGCGATAGCTACAGCTTATGCCAACTGCTGGCTACTCTACTGCTCCTCAGTTGTCTGGTCAACTAGACATACACAACTCAGAAAAAGGTAAGTCCAGTTATCTACAAAACAACATCTTTACTTCTTCCAGGGCTGCTGTAGCTCCTGTGTATACTGACAACAAAGGCACATAGATACAGACAGAACCAAGACATCCTGGAATAGAAAGAAAAGAGAAGAAACCTGCTTGGAGAGCATATATTGCCAACATTTCATAGAAGTAGGATGTTGGCTGCGATGGTTGCCCTGCTTGACCTGTGGCACATTAAGGCATTAAGTCTGTGGGGTGTCAGGGTAAGCTTATGTAGAGCTTAGAAGATGGCTTGTACGGGATGGTTTGGATAGGGCTGATTCTGCCTCAGGCAGAGGGGGTGGACTAGATGCATGTTTCTCAAAGACTCAAAGTGGGTTATGAGAATATATGAAAGGGTCATAAAAATCTTCAGGCATGCCAATTTTCAGCATTCACTTTTCAGCTCCTCCCCCACAAAGCTCCTCAATTTAAATAGCTTCCTAAGATATTGGAATGTAATACTTTCCCAAAACTATCTTCTGTTGTCACCTGTTTGCAAACCCACTGATTTACTTCCTCAGCTTTGTTTCCTTTACAGCAGTGTAACTAAGTGGGGGCAAGTGGGGCACCAGCAGCGGGCAGCCAGGTGGCAGGGAGCTTTCTGATGCCACATCACAATTGGGCAATGGGAGTAGCAGTGGCAGCAGGGGGCAAGTCCTAACTGACTCATACCAAAATTAAGTCATTATGGGCAGAAATCATTACCAGAAAATGTTGCTGGCTGTTGGTCTAGACACTAGGAAAAACACCTCCCCTACATGAAACATTGCTTTTTAATGTTTCTCTCCCAGGGCTGCTGCAGCTCCTGTGTATACTGACAACAAAGGCACGTGGAGAAAGAGACAGAACCAAACCCTGGGATAGAAAGAAAAGGGAAAAAAACCTGTTTGGAGAGCATATATTGCCAACATTTCATAGAAGCAGGATGTTGACTGCACTGGTTGCCCCGCTTGACCTGTGGTGCGTTAAGGCATTAGGTCTGTGGGGTGCCAGGGTCGAGGGTAAACTTATGTAGAGCTTAGACGATGGGTTGTACAAGAGGGTTTCATAGATGTTTGGGTTGGAAAGGACCTCAGATCATCGAGTCCAACCCCCCGCCCTGGACAGGAAAGAGCGCTAGATGACCCCAGCCAAGTGCATGTCCAGACCCCCCTTAAAGACCCCCAAGGTAGGGGAGAGCACCACCTCCCTTGGAGGCCCATTCCAGATTCTGGCAACGGATAGGGCTGATCCTGCCTCAGGCAGGTGGGTGCACTAGATCCGCATTTCTCAATGACCCAAAAGTGGGATGCAAGAATATATGACAGGGTCACGAATAAACTTTAAACTGGATTCTCCTTTCAAGGAGAAAAACGTGGGAAAACGTGCCTTTCCCCTTGCCGGCTGGCAGAGCTCCAGCCGGGGGGGGGGGGGGGGGGGGGGGGG